GTGTGTGGATTGGGTGTAATAAGCTGGTTCTGTTTTTAATAGTGTATTGCATGTTAGTTGTGTTTGAGTCTTCTTGTTTCTTTGTCTCTCATTGTCTAATTAATATACAAAAATCACGAATCAAGTTAGTATTGATCTAAAATTTAGTCCATCTTCTACATGCTGGGTGTCTCATTTGAAAGACAAGTTTCTGCATTACAGTACATTCCTTCTGACTCTTATATTACCTCACAAATGGTCATGCACCAACTGGCAAGCTTGCTCATCAACACCCACAACAGAACGTACATTTAAATTTACGTTCAACTACATAGATTCTAAGTTATAGTTTAGTTACATGATCCAAAGTCCACTAGCTAACTAGTCTCTCCAATCTACCAAAAAATTTCATTCATTGATAGCGTAAGCCAAACTTACTCAAAAGTTTCTCTTTACTCAATTAGTTACTTGTTGGAGTTTCTCAGGCTCTGTCATATCTGGGGTAACATGCTATGTGTTACGGTATTATCATTAAATTTTTATTTGATGAACTTCTCTGTTTTTCTGGGCATGATGAATGGTAGTCCATTCGCATTTGGAAGTAGAAACTTATAGACAGCAACTAATTGTAGTCGAAGTTGTGATACATATAAAGGTCGTCTCACCTTAAACGAGGTGTCTCCTTCATCACCGATTTTTTCAATCAGATGGCTACTCTTGCTGATAATATGGCTCTTGCTAGCAAACCTGTGGATGATGATGATCTTATTGACCTTATTCTCAATGGTGTCTGACCGGCGTGCTAGAGCGTCGTCAACTCTATTCAGTCCTGTGACCTTGGGAGGGGGGGAAATGCATTTCCAAGTTTGTGGGCCATGGTGGGTTTTCGACGGTTTCAGTTTTGCTTTCATCCCATTTCAATAGAATGTGCCAGAAGAAACTAATAAAAAGAGCAACTGCTCTGGAGTTGGGTCTGTAACTCTTTTCTTTTCTTTTTAATTTTTTTAAAGTTCTGCGTAATTGTTCTTTTACAATTATACCCTGCTTTAATTAAAATTGGTGTGTTAAAAAATTTTAGTTTAGCAAGGGTGTTTTCGGAATTTTTGAATGTTTCACCATTCTCCCCCTTTTGCTTTATATATATAGGGCATGTTTACGTATCAGTAATGGGTATGGGAGGAAAGAAAATGATTTCCATTCTTGACTTCCTCTACGTTTACTTGCAATCAGGAATGAAAAACTAAGTGGGGCCCACCTCAAAATCCGTAATCACATCCCCTCAAAATTGGGTATCAGATCACATAGGGGGGATTTGTCGATACGATTCCCATTCCTATTTTCTCTTAATAACTTCCAAAAATACCTTTACTACTTTACCATAATTCCAAAACACCCCAAACCCTAAAAAAAAATAAAAACTCACGCCAAGAAGTTCTAAGACGCTCCAACTTCTTTTTCACGTTATCGTTGCAGACACAACCTCCCATAAGCAGGAACAACGCCTTGTGCTATGTAAATCATTCTATCTATCTATCTTCTTCTTCTATCTTCTGTCTTCACATTCATCAAAAAACATAGTACGGTCATAGATAAAGACTTTTGTGGAGATTATATATCTCTTTTTTTGGTAGTATGAAGATTATGCATGTCGTTATTATTTGATTTTTTACTAATTACGTAGGTGAAAGATATGTATTTATTGGAGTTTATTTTTTTGTTTGAAATTGGCTCTTGACAAAGGTGTTATTAACATTATCATTGAACTGGCCTCTTGTTGTTCATCTTGTTCGACATATTGATTCCTTATGTTTACACCGCCTTACTAGTTTGCTATCGGGTAGATTTTAATCATTAAACTAGGAATGATAACGCTAGATCTGAAAGCAGATTCAAGGATTTCCATAAAAAAAATCATTATCAACATTACGTAGTTACAAACATACAAGATCCATCCACAATTGGTACATATACAGCAGAATTAGGGCATCATTGTTCCCTCACAAATACAAAGCACTAGATGTAACCTTTTTTTCTTCCTTTTCAAGTACAATCAATAAAGTATTTCAATCTGTTTTACTTTTTCTTTAACAAGTAGCATTAAAACTGGAAGCATTATATTAATGTTTTAGTGACAAACGTTTAACCACTAAATGCAGGTAGGAAATATGTTTTTTCTTTAAGAACCATACCTGCAGAACACCAGCAGCAACTAAAATTTCCAGGCCATGGCAGATGGATGCAACTTATTATGGTGGGATCATTTGCACCCTCCGGAGCCATTCGTTTTAATACGGGTAGATTTTAATCATTAAACTAGGAATGTAAACGCTAGATCAGAAAGCAGATTCAAGGATTTCCTTAAAAATCATAATCAACATTACGTAGTTACAAACATACAGGATCCATTCGCAATTGGTACATATATATACATACATCATTGTTCCCTCATAGATACATACATCACCTTAACATATGCTCTTATTCTTTTATTGAATTACACAGAGTTTCTGACAATGTTTCTTCTTCTTTTATTCTCTTATTCGTTTATGGAATTACATATATTACTTGGAAGCAGCTGACCCGGTAAAGGGTGCCTAGAATGATACTTGAATATCAAGCAATGTCATCAATTGAGAAATAAGCTCTGGTTGGCCATGCCACGCAGCTGCGGTAACCAGATTTCCATCAGTGACACAACGATCTATTGGATCCGCTTCCACAAATGTCCCCCCCAACGAAACCACACGAGCCTTAATCCCTGGGTATCCAGTACATTTCTTCCCCTGAAATATAGCCAATTATGACATGCTAAAAAGTGCCGAATCAGAAAACAAGTACATTAACCACCTCCGGCTTCCCAAAGCACACCTCCGTCTTCCCAGATGTAATAGGTCACAACAGATCAGCTCGACAGAACCAAAATACAAAGCACACCTCCGTCTTCCCAGATGTAACCTTCTTTTTTTTTCCTTTTCAAGTACAATCGAAAAAGTATTTCAATCTGTTTTACTTTTTCTTTAACAAGTAGCATTAAAACTGGAAGCATTATATTAATGTTTTAGTGACAAACGTTTAAGCACTAAATGCAGGTAGGAAATATATTTTTTCTTTAAGAACCGTACCTGCAGAACACCAGCAGCAACTAAAATTTCCAGGCCATGGCAGATGGATGCAACTTATTATGGTGGGATCATTTGCACCCTCCGGAGCCATTCGTTTTAATACGGGTAGATTTTAATCATTAAACTAGGAATGTAAACGCTAGATCAGAAAGCAGATTCAAGGATTTCCTTAAAAATCATAATCAACATTACGTAGTTACAAACATACAGGATCCATTCGCAATTGGTACATATATATACATACATCATTGTTCCCTCATAGATACATACATCACCTTAACATATGCTCTTATTCTTTTATTGAATTACACAGAGTTTCTGACAATGTTTCTTCTTCTTTTATTCTCTTATTCGTTTATGGAATTACATATATTACTTGGAAGCAGCTGACCCGGTAAAGGGTGCCTAGAATGATACTTGAATATCAAGCAATGTCATCAATTGAGAAATAAGCTCTGGTTGGCCATGCCACGCAGCTGCGGTAACCAGATTTCCATCAGTGACACAACGATCTATTGGATCCGCTTCCACAAATGTCCCCCCCAACGAAACCACACGAGCCTTAATCCTTGGGTATCCAGTACATTTCTTCCCCTGAAATATAGCCAATTAAACCAATTATGACATGCTAAAAAGTGCCTAATCAGAAAATAAGTACATTAACCACTAATCAAAAGAAACAAAAAAAATATCATCTCGTTTGCGATTTTAAAGAGTACTCACCTCCCTCTTCCCAATAGTTATTTACAATTGAGAGGTTAATAGGTCACAACAGATCAGCTCAACAGAACCAAAATACAAAGCACTAGATGTAACCTTTTTTTCTTCCTTTTCAAGTACAATCGATAAAGTATTTCAATCTGTTTTACTTTTTCTTTAATAAGTAGCATTAAAACTGGAAGCATTATATTAATGTTTTAGTGACAAACGTTTAAGCACTAAATGCAGGTAGGAAATATATTTTTTCTTTAAGAACCGTACCTGCAGAACACCAGCAGCAACTAAAATTTCCAGGCCATGGCAGATGGATGCAACTGGTTTTCTGGCTTCCATAAATTGTTTCACTACTACAATAACATCCTCCTTTAGGGCCAAAAACTCTGGAGCTTTACCTCCAGGGAGTACAAGAGCGTCATAACTTGAGGCATCTATGGATTCAAAGTCAGCCGTTAAAACAAAATTATGTCCCTGGATCTCACTGTAGGTTTGGCCCCCTTCAAGATCACGGATAGCAGTTGGGCATGTATCACCGGCTTTCTTCTTGGGGCAAACCACATCAACATGGCATCCTAGAACTTTAAGGGTCTGATAAGGCACAGTTACCTCATAATCTTCCACGTAGTTCTACAAATATTGGTTGGGGAGCAATTAAATGATGATGATTAGTAACCAACAGTTTAATCTTTGGCTATATTTTGTCCTATATTTGTCATTGCAATATAAAAGAAAAAGAAAAGAAAGCTTACTCCAATGATGATGAGGACCCTTCTCTCTGAAGCACATATGTTGCCTCCTAGTGCCTTGAGAAAAAGCCCAATGAACTCAGGATTGCCATAATATGTGACCCCAGTAATTAAATTATCATCAGCAACACACATTGACAATGAATCTGGTTCTACCCAGTGAGCACCAGCAGCAACCAATCCAGGCTTCATAGTTGAAACCGCTGTGCACTTGCGACCTTTAACAGCGCCTACAGGTGCTAAGACCAACAGCCCATGGCAAATAGCAGCAATTGGCTTTCTGGAGTCAGAAAATTTTCTCGCCAATTCTACAACTGATGCCTTC